GAATGCTTTTCTCTTTTTGGAACCAGTTTCTTCAGATTTGCCATCATTATCATGTTTCTTTCGCTGGATGTTTTTAAGTTCTTCAGCTTTTTCTGCAATGACCTGAGATTAGAACCATTATATCAGATATGATGAATTCAGAACAAGCTGTTTCACACAGTTTTGTTCTAACTTATCAAAACAACATCCATCTGTAGCTGTCTACATGAGCTAGTTAGCACAGCTGTCAGCATTAGGTCATGAAATTTAACTGACTTTTTATTAGTAGTGAATTATGACCAACCTTTCTTGCCCCAAGCAATAGAATAAACCTTGAACACCCTTTGTGCGATCAAGAAAATAGACAGACAAACTACCTAAACAACTTGGGGGTTATCAAGAAGTGCAAACATATCCAGAGCATCTGGAACACACCAATAATGAATGCTAACAATGGCAACAGCATATCAAAAAAATCACTACAGTGTGATCAATTAATCACCATAAGATCTTCTCTATCCCACTTGAGAACTAAGGAAAGATCTCACTAAAAACCTCCAAAAAACTCAGGAAACTGAAGAGAAGCCAGGGCATCCCAGAAACGTGTGTCAAGGCTACACACAGTATTGCTGAACCCACTACACTAAAGCTTCCCAAATTTTCTCCAGTATGAGAGCAGTGGTTGAATTTCCTTTTTTTTAGGTCAAAGTTCAGACCCAGTAAAAGACATAAATTTCTTATTGTTGCCATTGTTGTTGCAAAATCAAAACAGAACTCTTCAATAAACTGGCATTGCTCTTAAAAACAGAAAAATAATTTAAAATGGTGTAGAGTATGCATTTCTGTTTGGAGGAATCACTGAATGGAAGAAAAAATAGAGTTCCACGCACACACATTGTTCTCCTCACTGAACATGCACATGTGTCACATATTGCCTCATCCTTCAACTTAGTGCTTGCTGTCAGCACCTACACAGGTGCAATTATTATTTATGGTCCTCTGTCATGTTCTAAGATTTGACTTCTTATATTAAGTGCACCGACTCAGCACAAGAAGAGTGCAAGTGTTAAGAGCCTCTCTCATGACTCACTGCTGCAATTTCCAATAAAAGGAAGCAAGAAAAAACAACTCAGAGGCAATGTGGCTCATTATATGTAGCCAAAGATCAAAGACTATTTCCTGTTTCAGAGACACTGATACAATGACATCATGGGGGAAAAGCATAGGTAAAGCAGCCTCTCTGATTATCCTAATAGTAGATTTGAGAGGGCAAACTTTGGCAGGAATAACATAGGAATTATTTGGTGAGAGAAAGAGCTGTTACTTCCACAGTCTAACAAGGCAAGAGAGCACTGTATTTTATGCCAAGTGAGTGATGCATGCCTAATGATTTCTGTATCGGAGTTCCTTACTGCTGATGTGGGGACCTGCATGTGTTTGCTCCTCTCAGCACTTCTGTTCAAAACAGGGGAAAATGAATACAGGCTTCAGTTTCTAAGGACCGAACCCAGTGGCACTACCATGCAGAGCCTTGTGTTTACTTCAATGAATTTCTGTTGTTTGTTTCAGTTCTCAATGACCTGCAAATTCTGGCACTCCCTTGGAGTAGTCTACTTCCTTGTTTAAATTCAGCAGAGATCCTGAAAGTGAAGTCAGCTCTTGTCTTCTTTTCAGGGAATTCCTCAGCATCCCAATAGAGAGACAGCATATCAAGGAGGCTGAACCTCATCCCCATTTGGAAGATCTGACTGCAAAACTGTAATCCAACAATCAAAGTTATAAATATTATAAACAATTTTTAACTGACACTATACCATATCTGTAAAATTATGAAGGATGTTGAGATTCCTCTTGTGCTCTCTTCCTTCTTTGAACAATGCATACAAAAAATCAGGCCAAAGCCAAGGGCTTATCTGTCGTCGTTGAATTAGATCACTCATCCTAGGGGAAAAAAAATTATATCATGTAACATTACTTGACAAAACCACCAAATTAAAGCACATTTCAAGGAAAAAAAAAAAAACAAACCACTTCTATATACCCTAATGAAGTAGAACTTAACATATTGTGTAGGTTTAAACCCATTATTTGAAAGGAAGAACATTCACATTTGTGTCTTGGTTTTCCATCATCTCAAAATTTATGTTACTTATCCCAGCATCCCCATGTTTTATATCTTTAAGTATTGGTCTCTGAGGACAGCATATTCACATTTAGTCTGAATCCTCTTGAAACAGTCCCATTAAGTCATCCAACCCCATCACACCCCCTCCAGCAGAGCACTGACAGTGTTGTAAAGACTACTCAAAACAGGGTCCCAAAATATCTGCCCCAAGAGCTCAAACAGTTTCTGAGAGCATTGCATTCCTACTTGAACGTCCAGATACCAGACCTCACATTAAAATGAAAAATATGAGACTTCAAGTATGCTCAAGCACAACTGGAAGTACATTTGGAAGGGCTGATTGACACTGCTATTCAGCTCTTGCACATGCTTTAGCTACAGAGGAGTAATTATTACCAACTTCAAGCACACTTGTGCTACAGTCTGGAAAAGGCCAAGGATCTGATGATAATCAAACCCTTCAGATCTACCCCTGTTTTTTATCATACCTGTCTCAACAAGCTCCATCAAAAGTTAGGAGTGAGATCATAGAATCACAGATTTAGGTAGGAAAAGACCTTTTAGATCATTCAGTCCAACTCTTAACCTAGTGTTAACCCAGTCCTTTGCTACATCATGACCCTAAGTACAACAGGAGCATGTATTTCAAACTCCTCCAGGGTATTTAGTGACTCAGGGTTAGTCTGTTCCAATGCTTTACATCCCTCCCCCTCTGACTCCCTGGCCTTTCCTCCTGACAGCTGCAGCATTATTTCCAGCTCAACTAAAAAATAACTAAGGAAAATGTACATTTACCTGTAGATAGCAGAAACATAGTCAGAATCCTTATTCTTCTGGGCATCCACATTCCTCCCCATTGCTGTTTCTAGGAGAAAAACATCAATATTTTACAAGTGCAAAGTGAAATGCACTGTACACAGTGAATTACTACTGCTCCCAGCTTCTGACTATCAAGACACCATCCCTTTGACAAGTGAATATGCATATCCCTTTGCAGTGAATGAGCTTTCTTTGTATTTCCATGCCCAGGAATCCTGCTCCTCAAGAAAACCTCTCTTCAGACTGCTACTTCTGTCCTGCCAGTCCCAAAACTCAGCTACTCAGCAAGTAGCTGGGAAAAAGATTGGGAAGGATGGAAATGTATTCCGAAAATATGCAGGGACATGGCTCTTCAATCATCTTACACAAACTGGCACAGCTAAACTCATGATCTTCTGCATCATTCACAATTCTACTACAATAACTACAGGACTTACCACAAATAATATCAAGGGCACACAGAGTGATGTCCATAAAGACATCAAACGGCTCCTTGTCAACATGCTTCTCAAGTTTCTTCACCAAAATATTTCCTTGTTCATTCATGACCTCTAGAAAGTCACTCAAGATTTCAAAGTGGAATGTGGGAGTTATCATCTTCCTCCGTGACCTCCACTTGTCTCCAGTGCTGTAAAATTAATGGGAAGAAGGAAGGCTAAAAAACTCCACACCAAAAATAATATCCTCACCATTACAGGAAGTACCCAGTGAATACTGCAGCCTGGAAGAGATGGACACACTGTAAGATGTCCCTTCAAGCTGTTCATAGCACCCCATGGAAGGAGCAAATGGAAATATTTCTTGCTCCAGGTCTCTTGGAAGCAGAAACCACCATTTCTCCAGCTGATTGCAACAAACGGTGATGCCAAAAAGCCTCCAAACAATACATCCTTGTTAGTCACTGTACAGGCTCAGAGGGACCAAGGAGAAGCCAGCTGGAGGCCAAACCAGCTATTCAGCAACAAGGCCTCAACCCACCCCACCATCTCTCTGAATCAGTAGCTGTGTTGCCTTCATCCACCAACCATGAAATAAGCCCTGCAGAGAACTAGGGACATTATGAAAATGACTGCCTCAAGGCATGACTACAATCTACTTCCTTGGACACAGCTAATAACTTCCCACATACCAAAGTCAAGCATGGAGGCACAGTGAGTGTCACCATCTTCCTGGGGGTCCTTGTTCACTTTTTCTAAATAACACACCCCACAGGTACACAGCTGGCACTTCTGCTTACAGGGTAAAACTATCACACCACTGCCCCTGTTAACTTGCTATTGGGGCACTACACAGGCCAGCATATCTGCTTGCTGTCTGCCAATGCTGCCCCTGAAAGTACTGACAGAAACAGAACAGTGACTGAATCAGCAGAGACTGGAACACTCTCCTCCATTATGTTTTTGAAAGCACAAGGAGGTCAAAATACTTCTGTATGTCTATGGAAGACAAAACAACCAGTAAAGAACAGTGAGGATACACCATTCCTGATGCTCATGGACTTCACCTCTGCACATTGCTACTGATTAATTACTGCCTTCCTAAAGGCCATTAACAAAACTCAGGATAAAATGCATGCCTCATCCTCTCACATGAACTTGCACTTCCCATACCACATGATCAGAGCTGGCTTTTACAATACCATGGTCCCGTCGTGAAGCATGAGAAGTCCACCTCTGAGGGTTCCAAACAAGCAAGAAAGTTAACTACTAACACTGGGACCTTGACCTTTCTTCAAAAATTCAGAAGAGGCTCAAATTTACCAAAGACACTCTATACTTACCTTGCTCTGACTCTTGAATATCCACATCATCCAGACCAGTCCTTACTTTGCCCTTCCAAGACTGGAGGACACCAAACCTTTATACTGATGGTCCTTCCTTCCTCCAATCCTGATTTATGCTCCTACCCAGGCTTACTACTCATGATACTCTACTTCATGAATTAAATGAAGGAAAGGGTGCAGATACTCTCTGATCCTACCCCAAAGCATCACTAACCTCAGGTCTATCCTACTGATCTGCAATATGACGAGCTGAGATAAGCAATGCCTTTGTTCAGAAATACATACAGCATTTCTGCCACCAACACCTCCTCTTATCATATACATTGCAAATTTCAAAAAGGCAGCAGTGCACCTTTTTTCTTTATACATTATACCTTGTCAGAAGTCCAGTGCCCAGCCATGGATGCAGGAACTCATACAGGTATGATTTTTCTATATGTTTTGAATTGTTCAGAATAGCCTGTCAGAAAAATGAACAGCAAGGAAAAAATACTGCTTGTTAAATGAAGAGAGATTTCTTCAGTATTTCTTCAATAAACACTGCAACAGAAACAACACTGAGAAACAACACTGTCTTAGTAGATCAAGGACAATCACTGTTAGCAGCAAAACTAACGACTACATTTCATGGCATCAAAACAGACCCACCAAGTTTTAATGCAGAAGTCTGTCAAAGAGACACAAGCTTTGCAACCTGAATTTTATCATATTCTATCCTTATTTCAGTGGTCCCATCTTCCCTGCCATCTATTTGTTTGTTCTGATCTTGGGAGCAGAAGCTTTCACACATGTGAAAACCAAGCTAATGGAGATGCTTCTTTGATGCTTTCATTTGCTGGCCATCTTCAGTATTCTCCCCAGTCCCCTCTGACTAGGCATTTATACTCCTTTACTTTACACCTTTGTTTACCACTAACTCGGAGGACTATCCCAAAGCAAATCAGTCCAAATGTTTTTTAACAAAAATTACATTGAGGTAATAGAAATAACGTGTTTGACACTGGTCTGCATCCTAGTAGAATAGACCAGCACACTCACCTCCACACTGTCAGGGTGATACAAAAACATGACAGGCACTGGTCCTATCCAAATTTTGAACAATGGCCAACTTCTGAACTCTTCAGAATAAAACTGTATCTGTTTAAAAAATTCTGGAATAGAAAATCAGAGTAGAACTTCAACAAGGGTGATTTACGAAATAAGCAAGGCTTCTGTAAAGAACTCTTGCACCATGTTCCCTGAAATTTTGATTTTCTTTCAGTTTTAACCTTCTGCTGTGACCTAGCAGCATATTTTGCACCTGTGGATTTTACAATTCAGATGTCCTAATCTCTTCAGGCACAGACTCACAGCACCATTTGTGCCACAGATCAACCTGAGGGATACCACTTCTGTCCAGCTGCCAGTTGGACTTCATACCGGTCAGCTCAGCAACCCAGCAAATACTCCTCCCACATTATTCTGCAATTACCCACTCCATATCTTGTCAATTCAGTTATACAGAAAGCATGGGAGATAGCTGAATCTGCTAGCAGGGGAAGAGTAAACAGTGTTTGATTTGATTCAGAAAGATCTTTGATACTATCTCATCACAGAGGACAATCAGGTTCATCCCACAATATTAGATGCGGTGGCCACTCGCAGAATGTTCAAGGATTAAACACTTCTTTGCCCTTTCAGAAACAAGCTTAAACAACAAATGACACCTTTACAAGCCTTTGCAGAATTGAAAATTCAAAGGTCCCCAGATCAAACAGAAAAAAAAAGTTTCCTAATAGATGTCCAATATCCAAATACAGCTTGCCATGATTAAAATAGCACATTTTCCAGTAACTGTCTAGCAATACCAATTTAAAAAATCCTCATCATATGAAAAGTTATTTTCCTTCCTGTTATAGAAACCTTACCCTTTTGAAAAGTTTTTTTTTATTATATTTTTTATGAAAAATATTATAAACCACAAACTTCACCCATTTTTACATAAATAAACAAGAACAAAGAAGGCTGGGGCCATGTGATTCCTTAACTAAAACATGTCAGCTATGTGATTCCTGCTAACAAATAAGATTAGGGACTACACAGAACATCAGAGTTCACATCAAAGTGCTTTCTGGAGATAGAAGCAGTGTTCCAGTTTGGTTTGGGTTTTTAAAAGAAGATTAAAAAAAAAAAAAAATTCAAGATTCATCTCTCAGACTCACTCATATAAACATCCTGTAATCCTCCTACTACTTCCCCAAAATCAACTTTGTGGAAATCTGCCTGCCCTGACATCCCCACAGATGTCTCATACTTGTTCTTAGATATGGGCCTGGATCCAGAGGAAAGATATGACGGTGTTGTGAACAGAGGACTGTGTCTCAGCATGGGTCAGCACTGGGCAATTTGGATTCCAGTACTGTACTCTCACTTGGCTTCACCATGCACCCATGACCCATTAGCCTCTCTTCTGGAAGCATACACAGCAGCACAGCCAGCAACACGTGCACAGAGCAGAACTGGCATACACAGGCATCCCAAACACACACAGAGGAGTGTGGGCCACTGACAGCAGACTCAGCAACACTTTCATACCACTAACTCGTTAAGAAATATGTTCCTGTTAAAATATGAGTACCAAATGGAAAGGGAACATCTAGCACACTAGTACCCTCCCATGCACCTGGCAAAAAGAAGATCCCATTAATCAGTTCAAGAACAAAAGGATTTGGTTTTGAGTGATGTATTATAAATGCTCAGCAAGTTCTTTCACACTCAATACATAAATTTAAGTCACAGATGATTCTGGAAGTGAGCCAAGGTAAAAACAACCTGGCACGCTAAAGTAAGTTCCTTGCTCATGCTTGCTTGGGGGAAGGTAATTGTTTCAAGATTTGTTTGGCCCACAGAAAAAAGTAATGAGGACATAGTGTTCAAATTTGTGAAGCAGTACTTCCTGCAAGAGCCCACAGCATGCCTCCCTCTCACTAAATCACATTCCACAGCGTTCATGCTCCACCCTACCAACAACTTAACCATCTAAGCCCAGCAGCAGCTGCTGTCACATTTAACCCCCAGCAAGCTTTTGAGACCAATAATAATGCCACATTTATGCAGTTCCTCTCCTCTTTACTGTAAACTCCTCAAAGTGTTCCCCTCTGCAGATTGCTCAGAGAGACCTAAAGGCAAGAGCACATCCTCTGATACCCCACTCCCCCAGCTCAGCCACATAAGCACCCCACCACCACTGGTTCTCCAGCAAACCCCAGGCAGTGCAGGGACCTCACAGCTGGGCTACAGTGTGAGCTGGCATTACCTTCTGCTTTCCGCTTGAGGAGCAGGGCATTTCCCACCACAGGATAGCAGGGGCTGACACCCGGGATGGACTTCATCATCCTCCATTGCCTCCAGTATTCCATCAGGGAGGGAAGGGAGCACACAATCACAATTGTCAAAAGCAGAGCAATGATCCCAGCTCCCCATGGCAGCAGCTGGGGTCTCCACGACAGTCCTTCCACGACCTCCATTGTCACCTCTCAGCCTCCTGCTCTGAGCCTTGATCCCTGCTGTGAAACTGGTGCTGTCTGTACCCGGCACTGCAGAAAAGTTGGCCAGAAGAGCAGGAGGAGGAGCCACCACACAGGCCACTGACCTAGCTTCTTTCCAGGAAAATAAGCAGTTGAAAAACACTCTTAGGAGAGGCTGCATTCTAGCAATTCCTAATGGCAGGCAAGCCAGAGGGAACAGTCACTGCCTTCACTTGGCTTGAGCCAAGTGAGGAATAAGAACGTTCTTTGTAGGCCCATGCAAGATCTCACAAGGAAAAACAAAGCACCATCAAGAGAAAATACACCCTTTTGCTGATTTGGAATAGATGAGTTTTCTCAATATCATCTTTCTCAATCTGTTCTCAGGTGCTCAACACCATTTTGCCATAAAGAACTGCTCCAGTGCTGTCTAACACGATAACGGAAGGGCTAGTGGAGAATACCCTTTTTCAGTGGTTTGATGGCTTCAAGGAGTTACAAAACCAAAGTCCATAAAGACCCCTGATCGACAGCAGCATTGCAAAGCACACTGATGCCTCTCAGCTCAAATGTCCTTTACTGATCTCATTATTGAATGCTCAGGCACAGGCTAAAGGGTGCCAGTAAAACAACTGGCAGCACCAGCACCTGTGCCCCCACTTGCAAAGTGCCTAGGTACTCACAGTACCAAACCCACCCCATACACTGCTACCCCTCTTGCCTCAGGGAGATCCAGGGTTTCTTCTCACTGCTGCAGGGCTAATGAGCATCTGTTTCTCAAAGTGGGTGCTCAGAAACCTTTTCGTCAAACAGGATTTTGCTAGAGGCAGCATGGTTCACAGCCAATTCACAGAAGTTCACTCCCCAAATAAAGCACAAATGGTATGTGCTTATGGCCATAGTCACATTTATTCTCTTTGTTTTGTACCAAAAATGACTGCACTGACTACAAAAGCATTTTTAGCAAATTAACAAATAGCACAAACAAAACAACTAAGAGAAAAAACACAAACAGAAAGCTCAGAACATCAGAAGTCAAGTTTCTGTGACCCTTGACATCAGAGACAGTAAATTTTGGCACTTTTTTCTTGCAGTCTACCAGCAGAGATGTTATCAGAAATGCTGACTGTTATATCTTTCTACACAGTAAACAGCTGGAAATGAACTTTGCTACTCTGGCTGTTGTTTGCAATGGTTTGTGACAGAAAGCAACATATATATACCCAGTCTTGCAAACACATAGGCAAGTTAGACAATCAACAGTCCCCTCATTTGTTCAGGTGAAATCCTAGGAAGAAAGCAAGCACACAGGGTGAAGCAACTCACTTTTTGTATTTTTAACATGGAGATCAGCTGAATAATTATACTCTCATATAATACAAAGAGTCTTGTAGTTTGTTGCCTTCATTGCACCAATTAGATGAAGTGACTATTTGTGCTTCTGAGTCAAAAATCTGTACTTCTAACTGCTAATTATTCCTACTATGGGGGGGACAAAACCACAAACACCAAAAAAACAAACAAAAAAAAAACCTGTAAAACAGCAAGGAGAAGGTGGAAAGGCATTGGGAAAGCAGTAGGGAACACTGCAAAGCAAATGTTGCAGCATCCTGCCAGCAGCTGGTGATGGTGATGATGTCAATAAATGCAGCAGAAACACTGGAATGAGACACAAAAGATATATTCCCAAGAAAGAAGAAACTAGAGGTCTAGCATCTTTGAGGTCTAATTATGTCACCAAGACTTGGAATCATAACAAAACTTAGAGGACGTTCTGTAGGAAATGAGTTTTCTACCAGATTGTCACCAGCATTTCTTTTTTACCCAGAGAGCTATTGTTCAGTGTTGGATTTCTGTGAGCACTCCACTGCTTACTGAATTTTTGCTTTTATAAATGCTTGTAACAGTGCAAACCCACTCTTCTTCAGCCTCTTGCCTAAATGGAAGCCTATCTACATGTGCTGGCAGACGACAAGCAACCTGTTAGGCAGCTGTGTCAGCCACAAAACACAATGACAACACAGGCTTCTGCTAGTCCCTAGAATGAAGCCTGGGTTCTTCAGTAAGAAAAACTAATCAAATCATCATTAACAGCAAGAAAAAAAAAACAACAAAAACAAAAACCAAAAACAAAAACTAAGGAAGTCTAACTTGGATCTGATACAACAGTGAGGCTCCTGCTGGCTTCACTCTGGATCCACTGCAGAACATAGCTGAGCTCAGCAGCCAAGCTGAATAGAGAAGTATACAACTCATTCTGAAAAACTAAGCATGTTTTATGATTTAAAAAATAATCAAAAACTGAATGTTTTTTTCTTAAGAAAGTCTTTCTTAGCAAAAGCTTCTCTCTTTCTAAACACACATCATGACAACATGATTAACCCTTATGCAGAAAGATACACTGAAATAAACAGGCTATTTGTAGTCCACAATAGCCACCACCTATACAAAAAAAAAAAAAACATAACACAGTATGTCTACATTTCAAAATATGTCATCAGCTGGACAGCTGGAGAGCTCAGAGATCTCCCCAGTTCTCAGAGAGGAATTTTAGGGCCTGATACTAAATTTCATGTCCAAACAGGGCTACTAAAGCTTCATACCCAAAATATAGTCTTCCAAGAACAAATCCTGAGGAAGATTCCAGCTTCAAATCCTTCTGTGGACCCTTTCTCACACAGGTAAAGGACATTAACAGTATTTGTAAGACAGAGACCACAGCTGTTTTTCAGGGTCACCTATTGGTTTGATGCCCCCACCATCAAGCATACCTTGTTTGGTTTCTGCAACCTAGTGATCACTGTACAGCAGCAATTGCTTTGTCCCCTTACTACAAGACATTTTGCATGAATAAATTATCCCCAATGGAATACAAAAGCCTGCCTCCTAAGAAACCATAATCCTCCCTACCAGAATAACAACATGACTTAAAATAATAGAGATCACTACTCACACCCCAGAACACAGACTACAGTTCTGATAAGGTGTCAGTTATGTTGGCCTAACTAATAGACAATTAACACTAAGTAGCTACCAAAGCACCACATCTGTGTTTATTCATCAGTGTTTTCAGGAAAATGCACACTCCCAAGCTGGATGATCACAACTGATCCAAGGTCACAAGTGAAGATTCCACCCACTTCTCTGTGATTTGGCTAGACTGTACAGGGCCCTCTCTTTGCTAAACTCCAGCAAGTTTAAAGAAAGCATTTAGCAACATGGAACACAGCACATGAAGTGAACCAGAGGTCATGAAGAATGAATAAACAGGGCAGCTTAAGACCAGGAAAACCTTGTGGGTCACAGAAGCACAACACTGCAGATCTGCTACCTGCATTCTTGCAGCATGGAAGATTTGGTATGGTATTTGCTCTAGGAAGTTCTTTGTCCACATTTGATGTGCCTGCACATAACAGTCATAGCTGTACATACATCCTCTTAGAAGCTGTGGTGGGTTAGCCTTGGTCAGCAGTCAGGTTTGTACCAGAAATGACTGCACTGACTGCAAAAGCATTTTTAGCAAATTAACAAACCCTCCATTCACTCCCCTTACTCAACAGGGTACAAAATCTTATGGGCCAAAATAGACTGGAAGATTGCTAATTGGTTACTATCATGGGCAAAACAGACCCAGTTTCGGACACTCAGTTTAATTTATAGACAATTAAAAACAGATAATGAGGAAGATAGAAACAAAGACAAAAGTTCTTCTCTGCTGCTCCCTCCCCACTCTTTTCTCCTGCTCCAGCATAGTTTCTCCACATGCTGCTGAGGAATCTCTGCTCTGAAGCCTGAAGCACTGCCTCCTTCTCCTTCAATGACCTTGGTGTTTGCACTGCTCTTTCTCTCTCTTTTCCCTCCCCACACTCCTCTGTCTGTTTAGGACTTTTTGTACACTTGTAAATACTTTTTTACAGAGGTGCCACTGGCTTGGCTGCTGAGCTCAGCTATGTTCTGCAGTGGATCCAGAGTGGAGCCAGCAGGAACTGTTTCTCTTCTAGCTTTTTCTCAGAGAGGCCACCCCAGTAGCAGCCCTGTTACTGACACCATGACGCCTACACTCAGCTGAAAAGCCTACCATGAAACAATTACAAGACTGAAAGGGAAAATAGGGGTGAAATGTCCTTCACATTACCCCCTAGTGAGACCAGAAATGTCAGTTACAAAGTGATGGATGCATGCAAACTGTCAACAATATTTAATATTTGGAAACCATACCAGCACCTTTCCTTATAATGTTCAGGGAAGAATTGCTCAGGACTAAACTCCTCCAGGTCAGGGAAAATCTTGGTAGGGCACAAATCATAACAGGAGTCTTTGTACCACTTGATACCTTTTGCCTAGGAGAAAAGGGAAATGAAGAAGGATCAAAACAACAGCAAATAGGTGGCTGTCTATAACTGCTTAACCATAAAATAAAAAAGAGAAAACCCTACACTTTACCTGGAAAACTTTCTCAGTACTCTGTCCTGCAGGTATTCCAGCACTCATCCCAGCCACCTCTAGCTACTTAAAACCCTAGAATGGCCACATGGTGCATTCCTATCTCAATTTCTTCAATCTTTATAAAAGAGGAATGGAAATCTTACCAAACATATTGTCCAGTTCTCTGTGAATCTTCTTCTGGGCTTCAGGATCACATCCAAGTAAGCACAAGGCCATTGCAAGGGTGTGCAGAGATTAAGTTAGAAAAGCAAAACCTCAGCTCAAATGGAAATTTGTCAGAGATGTCAAAAACTACAAGAAAGAGTTCTTCAAGTACTATCATGGCTTAGACCATGACAAAGTACCATGCATACAACCCACCCCAGTGAAACAGAGAAGACTATCAGAAAAAAAAATAAAACCTATGAATTGAGATAAGAAAAGTTTACTGATTGAAATATAATAAAGTAAAATAAAAACAGGAAAACAGGAGAGAGGAGCAAAATCCAAGGAACACAAGCAATTATACAAAACAATTGCTTACCATCCACTAACTTCAGTCCACCCCCAAGCAGCAATAAGTCCCTCCCAGCCACTCCCCATCTATACTGAGCAGGGCCTTCTGTGGTGTGGACTTTATGGTATGACCAGCTGGGGTCAGCTGTCCTGGCTGTGCTCCCTCACTTCTTGTGACCCTCCCACTGGCAGAGCACGGAGCATTGAAAAGTCTTTGATGTTGGGCAAACGCAACTTAGCAAGAACTAAAACATTACTGTGTAATCAACATTATTCTCATAACACTTTAAAACACAGCACTGTGCCAGCTACTAGGATGAAAATAAATTCCATGCCAGCTGAAACCAGGACAGGTATGTAAACAAGCAGAAACAGAAGGAAAGTATTTGCCTGTGTTTAATAGGAGAGATGAATTAGTCACCAACAAGACTGAAAAGGCAGAGGTACTCAACACTTTCTTCACCCTTGCTCTTTAATCAGCACCAAGCCTTGGGAAAAAAGAAATCCTGGTTGATGCAAACACAGACCCACTATCTGTGAAGGAAGGGTTGGTATGTGAACTATTACAGGAGCTTGACCTTTACACATTGATGTGATCTGATAGTACCCAACCAAGAAAAGCTGGCCAATATAGCTGTGAGGCCACTCTCCATAATTTTTAAGTTGTGGAATTTGGGGGACATCCAAGAAGACTTAAAGAAGGCTAATGTCACTCCTGTCTACAAGAAGGATTTCAGAGAGGATCCAGAAAATTATAGGCCCACCTGTCTTACTTTAGTCCCTGGGAAACCTACAGAACAAATTTTCTTTGGTGCTGTTACAAGTCAAATGGACCCCACGATTAGGAAAAGCCAGCACAGATCGACCAAGGACAAAGTGTTCTTGGAAAATCTGATTGTCTCTTACAACAAATTAACCTGCTTGAACATTGTCTACCTGGAAAACTCCAAGACTTTTGATATGGTTTCCCATGGTCTTCTCCTACAGAAATGTGGATGTGATGGTGTGGATGTGTGATCCATGCAGTGGGTGGGGAATTGGCCGCTCAGCCACACCGGGAGGGTGGTGGGAAATTGCTCCCTCTCACCCTGCCACAAGTGAAGTCACCCAGAGAAAGATACTGGGTGACACTGTTTAGTACCTTCATCAGTGGTTTGGATTATGGGATCAAGTGTACCCAGATAAAGTTTGTCGGTGAGGCCAAACTGAGTGAGGCAGGGACACTTTGGAAGGGAGAGTGACCCTGCAGGAAGACCTGGACGGGCTGAAAAATTGGCCTAACAGGAACCTTATGAAGTTCAGTAAGGACAAATATCCTTAGGTCCTGCACATGGAAAAACATAATCCAGGAGAGCAGCACAGGCTGGGGATCTACCTGACTAGAGAACAGCTCTATGAAAGGGACCTGGGGGTGCTGGTGGACAAGCAGCTCAGTGTGAGTGAACAATTTGTTGCTGCAGCAAAGAAAGCCAATACAAGACATAGCTGCATCAATGCCAGGAGAGATAAAGTAACTATGCCATTCTACTCAGTTCTGGTCAGGCCACACCTGAATATTGTGATCAGTTTTGATCCCTGCTATACAAGAAAGATGTGGACAGGGTAGAGAAGGTGCAGTAAAGGGCAAAAAAGATGACCAAATTACTGGGTAGCCTGTCATGTGAGGAAAGGCTAAGAAAAGTGGATTTGTCCAGCTTGGAGAAAATTAGCTTAGGCACATCTTATCAACATCTTCCTGTATTTAAAGGGTGTCTACTAAGAAGATGAAGATTCCCTTTTCATAAGAAGTCATATGGAAAAGTGAGGAGTGATACATGCAAATTACACCTGGGAAGATTCCAAATGGACACAAGAGGAAAATTTTTCACAATGAGAATAAACAGCCATTAGAATAATCTCTCCATTATTTGGCAAGTGGTGGATTTTCCAGCACTGGAGACTTAAGATTCAGCTGGACGGAGTGACGGGCCATCTTCTAGACTGTGCTTTTGCCAGCAAAGATTGGACCAGATAATCCTTGAGGTCCCTTCCAATCTGGAATGAGTCTACAATGATTATCAGGATATCCAGTAATTTTCAGGTGCCCAAAAACTGACCAAAAGGGAGAAGTGTTAAAATACATCTGGTAGACAGCAAACATCCCTCTTCCTCTCTCATGCCATCTGAGAGCAATCCATTGCTGCTCTGGTAATTAACAAATCCTTCTTTTTAAGCCACAGAAGCTTGTTGTTCTGCTCTTCTCTTCATTTGTGCAAGAAATCTCAAAAAGTGGGAATGGTCTTGGAGATTTGTCAGCATGTGGTTCAATTCTCAGCATCTATAAACTCTTGGCTCAGCAGGAAAAACATTACTTGCTATAAACAAGTTTATCCCAGCAGTTCCCACAGTTACTGATGATTAGAACAGCAAAAAATGAGATTTCAAAAGAATTAAAGAAAGAATAAAAGGCTGGTACAGATACTTTTAAGAGATAAAATATAATAATATAATAATAAGCAGACAGACTGAAAAATGAAGAAATGTTAACATAGCAGTTAAAGAGGAAGTACTGCAAACTTCTGTTTAAAAGTTTAAATTTTATATATGACTAATATTTAGATAGACTAGAACATCTTTAAGGAAACAAAAATAAGTAGGAACAGCACTTTTATGTTCTAAATGCATCTTATTTGATAGGTAGAAAAATATTCCCAAGGAAAGCCATAAAAAGGAGGAATGCCTGAGAAGAAAGTGCAGCCACAGTCTCTTGATACTGCCAACAGAGCAGATACCTCAACCGTTTATTTAATTTTGCTATAATTTTTACTCTAAGCTCTGGTCAAATAATTTTAAAAGAAGGTAATGCAGGCATCCTGAGGATTGCAAGGCTTAGCAGACACTACCATATGCATACATTCTTTGTTACACAAGATACTAAGTGGCATATTTAGTGCTTCAGTCTTTCAATCAGTGCAGAGGGTTTCTGTTTCTTCCTAAAACAGGTTAAGAAGCAATCTGAAATCTCTTCTTTGAGGTTAGAGGATTTCTCTGAAAGGATCTGGAGTAATTCTGTGTACCTGGAAAATATAAAACATTGTTAATTGTTGTAGTTTCTGAAAGACACTCCAAAATTATATATGAGTTACTTCCACCAATGTGCTCAGATCAATGTTTGCTAACCTGCCCTTATTCTTACATCACCTGTTATATAATTTTGTCAATGATATAATTATTTAAACTTAAGGAACTTCCAAACAAGTAAAGATTACTTATAAGAACTCAAATGCACCAGGAACCAGCTAGTCAACTTCATTGTAAAAATGAAACAAAATGAGTTACATAGGGTTGCTCTCTTTTTGGGCTTGTAAATTCAAGACAGACTTGCAAATCAATACTGAAATTTTTTATGAGAGCTTTATAATTTTGTTAAAAATGCACATTTTCAAATCTACTTTTTCTTCACACAAAAATAAAATTTTTGTGTGAAGAAATAAAATCTACCTTTTCTTCAGACCTAAAATAAAATTTGTTCTGAACAGTTCCCAAACATGCACCCATGTTACTACTCTAGCAGCTACATAAATATCTAGCCTGTGCACTACATTCTCTTGCTATAGTTGTAAATATGACAAAATACCAAGAAAAAAGAAAAGATGAGATGATTAGATGGAATTCTTTTCCTGCCACGTCATAACAAGAAAAAGAAGCTTCACAAGATTCCTACCCATAAGAGTTAGGATTCCCTCAGAACAAGTGAAAAGAAGCTTCAATCTGAACTCAAAAATCCTACTAAGAAAATCTGGTTTTCTTTTATGCAGAGATGGCTCTCCCTAAGCAGTATACTTTCTGACAGTATAATGGGTTAATAGGTTTTGCTGGCCTTTTACCTCTCAAGTCATTCTCCTTTGCCTACCTGTTATCAAAAATCCTTGACCAGTCCTTCTGTGGTTAACAAAATCCACAGGAGTCAGTGACTTTTTCTGAGGTGTGTCTCTCTGTAAAAAGGAAATATATACTCTTAGCTAGTGAGATACACTTATCTACAGAAAGGGTTTGATTATGGTTTTATGATTTAGTCCAGCAGACTGGATCCTACCAAAGTGCAAAGCCCAAAACAGCACTAAAACTGCATACTTCTAGCACACACACTCCCTCAAAACCTGAAAAAAATTCTTTCTCATACAACAGTCCCACACCCTCCCCAAGACTTTTAGCATCCTCCTCTCTTCTCAGGGATCCCTCAGGTAGCAGGAATCCCTGTACATCAGAAGTCAGGAGAGACTCTGAAAGGAGACCTTCTGTAAAACAACAGCAGGCGTGAAAGAAAACCTGTTCCCTTTTTCCGTGTCTCCACTTACACTGTAACATACCCTGAATGTATGAGTTGTGCTGGGTCTTGAATATTGATCAACAGTAAGAGTTCTTTCTCTGAGTGGCTGTTGCTCTGTCCTGCCAGCTACTGCACTTGACACTCTGCTATGAGCATATTGTTCTTGATGCTGAGAGAATTAAAAAGAGCATAAAGAGAATGCAGCAATTGAGTAAGTTAAAATATTTTTTTTCTGTTGACATACAAAAGTTCACAGGAATATAAGAAAAATATGTTTTCAATAACCAAAAGTATCAATTTAAGTGTTTGCCTGTTTTTTAAACAAATGCAAGACTTTTTCTATGTTGGCATATTAATATATCAACATGCTAATTTACTTTCATTCTGGTGATTTATTACTTCCCCAACCCTCAAAACTCACCAATATAACCTCTGGCTTTTTTCAGTTGTTATAATTTTCTACTTCAGTCAGCATAGTTTTCAAATTCTTATAAACTAACATTAGTGAATAAAACACTGAAAAGAGCTATTTAAATCCAGATGCATAGAAGAGCAAGGTTACTATCTTGTTATTTTGTTGGTTGGTTCTTTTTAGCTTTTTTTTTAAACAAGTTTTTCTGTTGTCAGAAAAGTCTTTCCACTATAATTTGTCTATGGCCTAAGGTTTTGAACTGCCTTTTCTTGCATTGTAATTGCATCCCAGTATAACACACATTAGCATGTTAAAACTATGTATTAAATACTAACCAACACAAGCTGTAAAATTACTCATTTCAACCAGTGACACAGAATAATTTAATTCTAAATATCTTGAAGTTCTTCACCAGTAAAACAATGAACACAACTTACAGGGCTCTGTTGCATTCGAGGTACTGAAATGTGTTGTTCAACAGGCTCAGAGTTTATTGGTGGTAACTTGTTCCGGGTTGCAGGCACACGAGCAAAAGATAAACTGCTGCCAACCCTACAGAATTTTAAGGGTTCCTCTTTTAGGAGTATTCACATTACAGCCTTCTTTATTGAAGTAGCATGAAATTATTAAGTAGTACATTTCTTTATAAAGCTCTGCTACAGAAAGTAACAGCATCTAATACAGCAATAAAGAAGTAAAACAAATGGCTTTCCTTAAAAAAATCATGGCTCTGCTTGCTTTCTTTTTCCCTCTAAATTCTACAATTAATGTGGGTTATTTCTCAGGTAATTTGCAAAATCCTTCAGTGGTGAAATTTTAGTAAAGTTCTGAGAAAAGAAAAGAATAAAATGAAAAACTCACAATTTTGTCCCTGTAAGGATTTCATCATTGTACATATTAGGAACTTCTGAGCAGGGTTGGTCAGAGGTGAGAGCAGGTAACCTTGGTACTTTCCTAGAAGATGTCAGCAGAGCCAGAGATGATGAGAGAACACTGTTATCAGAAATTCTCCCCAACCTAGCATGTGCTGAATTTGGAGTGCTGGAGGCACTGCTATACTGTTTGTCTTCTTGCTCATTCCTAGGGAAAGAGAAAGAAAGAAGGCATTAGGATCAAGAAAAACAAGGTTTTAACAGTGCATCATTTCTACCTCTGCAAATTACTAGCTTATCAGTGATTACAATATCACACAAGATCACTGCCTTTTTTATAGTTTGTTTTTTTTTAATTGCAAGACATTTTTACATTATGTGAATTATGTTTTTAAAATGTCAATGTCACCTACTGTGTTTTTTCTGCTGTGACAGCATGCCTCTGTTGGAGCGGTTTTGCTTGAATTGTCATCACACCACTCAAATCACTACAGAAGTTGCTGGAGAAACGGTAAACCTATTAAAAGCAACAACTATGTGTTAACCTTTACTTTTTTAGAAGGAAGGTCTCAAAAAGCACATAGTTAAGAGGTATTTTACTTGTTTTTTACAAAAGTTTCTTTTAAGATGGTTCAGTACAATTCTGAGGAGTAGATAGGGCAACAATGCTTTTTTCTTTTGCTTATCTTCAACAGAATTTTATAAACACAACTTGTGTAATGTAGTTACTGAATTTCAACTTGATTTACAATATAAATTTCAGCTGAAGCCAGAGTCTGATTCTTCAAACTTTCCATTTTCCCTCAGCAATGGGGCATGATTTATCAAAGCATTTTATTTCTCCTGGCAGCTGGGACTGCTTCAAAACAAAGCACACCTATGGGGAGAACCAAGACTGCCATGCTATCTTTCATGTGTTCCTTATATCACTGTTTAAAGAGCATGGAAGAAGAGCCAATGGAAGAAAATTAAGTCACTTGAACTCAGTAGTGAGAGACAGGAGGAAAAAAACCCAAACAGAAACAGTGGCTGAAAAAGGAAAAAAAATGTACAAAACATTAATCAAGAAATCAAAAAACAGAGGGAGAAAACAGCAAGCAGGACAAAATAGGACATTTTATCAATATAAACATGAATTTCTACAAAGACAGGTAAGGCCTAGTGCCAGTGTGCTGGTGGATGTACTGCAGAATCCCCTTTCACAAGAGGCAATGAAAACATGAAGCAATGGGAGAGTCTGAAAGTCGCAGTGTTGTGAGAAAAGCACTTCAAGTTACAACTTCATATCCCAATTTGTCTTCTTAGTTCTACCATGAAGAAATTTCTGGATCACAATAAAAGCAGAATTAGTTTTTAAGGACAGAATAGAATTTAACCAAGACTTTGCCAATCAATGGCAGCAATAACTTAGTGATAAATTGTAACTTTAAGGACCACCAAAAAAAAACAAGTATAAATAAACAAAAAACAAACATTGAATTAAACCTATTTTTAAATCAGATGACTTTAAGTACCCCTAATTGGTATAAAGAAAATAAAAGAGAAAATAAAGAAAAAGTGCCTTTTCAAGTTTTGATCAAGATTGTCCAAAATTGAAAAAAAGGTGTCCAAGGAACAAAAAAAAGAACATTTGACAGAAAGGTTTGTTTTATTCTTACCTGTGATGAAACAGAAAGAGCCCCAAAAGATATATTTTGTGCTTCAGAGCCTCTGGAAAGAGGAGTAGTCCCAGCATCTGCTGTAATATGAATGACTGGCAAATGTGGCAGTTTTGCTGTAACAGTTTTGAGTTTTTCTATTTGTTGGTCACATTCTGCACAACAGCAAGAAAAGTAAAGGGAATAAGAAGTATTTTCTATGTTTACCAGCCATCATTTCTTTGGGTTCAAACAATACTACACAGTAAATAAAGACTTGCACATAGCTTTATGCTTCTGTGCTAATTAAAAATCTAATATAAATTATGGGTTTTTGAAAGCATTTCCATTTGTCTATGCTTTCTCTGACACTGACATACTAAACTCATCTATACAGGTAGATTTGGAGCGGGTTGTTTAAGAAAATACAACTAATTGTATTGAAATGCTGTCTAAAAATACCCAGAGCTTTTCCTTCTTAAGTAGTAAAAAAACCACCAACCATATATATATATATATATATATATATATGTGTGTGTGTGTGTGTGTGTGTCTGTGTGTGTTTATTTATTTCATTATATTTATATATAATTAAAAGCTTATTGATACCAGCCTCATTTGACAGCAGCTGTACAGTGTTTCATTTTGGGTATATGCTACCATCTTATTTCTATTATAAACCCAAATTCTTTTCCTTCCTAGTTTAAGTACTAGCTATATGACCTTTAAAAATATAAAAGGACAAACCTATCACAATACTGCTAGATTATCTTCCCTAAACTATAATATGGAGAGCTAAACAATCCACCTGTACTGTCAAAAGAACTTTTAAATTACAGTATATCCTGAAATATTAATTTCTGATGGTGCAAGAATTCAGAGAAATTTTGCCATTTCTTACTTTTTTGTATTCTTATATTTGAGGTCAAGTGTACCTCACATTAGAGGTAACTTCCAAGACCCACCCTCAGGTATTCTTCTGTTACTTCTGTCCTTTTAAAATACATTGAAAAACCTGAAATTTCGCTCAGCCTCCAAAGAAAACACATGCACACTAAATAGATTTTCACTTCCACTTGTTTTCCCTAGCTTTTCCTTTTAGTTTGTTAGAATATGAAACATAAAATAAAACTACATGCATCACCTCTTCTTCATCCTATAGTGAAGTCTTGAACTCCTGCACATCAGCAAGACTGTCTACTTTAACATTCTGACTACCCAAGGGTTTTTTCTACTAATAAGGCCTAAGCAATGAAGACTAGGAGACTCTGATTCCTAGGTTCCAGATCATATTGTCAGTGATCCCCTAACTAATGATGACTAACAGCATCAATTTACATCTTCAAGCCAGTGATTAATATTTTTTTTAAACATGCTCTCTCACAATGAAGCTATTTCAGTCAGTATATTTCAGTCACTATTTTTCTTTTTGCACCTCTCATGCAAAACTCCCTGAAAATTAGGAAGAAAGTTTTATTTTAGGTGCATGTGGGTGTGCACATTCTCATGGCAAGGCGTTACATATATTACCGTTCTACAGCACTGGAATATTGGATTAATTTAAGCAGATAGGGAAGGATGACTTTTTTAAACTAGATTCAACAAATACCATATTTTCAAATGAAAATATCAAATACCTGGGATACTACTTTCCCAATTTTTTTTAATCAGCTCCTCCAATATTCCAATCACATTGCTCCAGATATAATCAAACACTTCAGAAGCCACAGCATCTTTGATACAGGCATTGGGAGAAACAGGGGGAATGCCACGCTTACACCTCTTCTCAGAAAGATGCATTTTCTTTTGTTCCCAAATCTCATCCTCACTAGTAAAGGAAACAAATTCAAAAGAATTCCCATGGGAATTGACTTCCCCCCCCCACCCCACCCCCTCCCTCAATAGAGAAACATACATATAGACAAAAAGGAATTCAGCTGGAGATAAGCAAAAAATTAAAACTCAAATTCACCTAAGGGAAGAGAACCTATTAAATACATTTCTACTGATTACATATATACTGATTTCTCTTTCATTTGCTTGCCATTGAAAATTTTTTAAATCCCATCAGGGCATTAAAACAGAAAGATCTACAGGTCTAGGAAAAGGTTTTATATGTGGCACGTAGTCATTTGAGACTAAATCCTATGTTTTTTACAGTAACATAGGCAACAACATCTGTTATATTTGTCAAGAGGACTCTCACATGAAAATTTCTTTCTCAGCATGCCCTGTGTACCTGCACACATCTCCAATTTCCCACCATTAACCAAAGATGAAATAATTTTAAAGGATTTCTGCAGTATGACAAGAATAGTAGAGCCCATAGCCTTACACATACCTTCTTCCTATACACTACAGTAAGAACACTTATGCTTTTTAATTTTTTTTTTTTTTTTTGCTGTTTCTTCTGTTTCTATGGAAACATGTTCTAGCAACATCTCCTAACTTGGTCTTCTAATACACCCTCTCAGGATGAAAGTTTTAACTATTTTCTCTTTTTTTATACCATTGTATTTTTTTCTAAGGAGCGGGGGTTTTGGGGGCTTTTTTGAGATCAAAAAGATGCTTCCAAACTCCTACTGGTTTCTACTACCTCCGTTTCTCTTCTCTTTGACACTTCTTCGCTTCTTCCTCAAGCCACACTGCATAATTCTTAACTGTATGTAAGATGTGGCTGATTGGTCCAACTCACAAAATGACCAAGCTATTCTCCTGTCAGGCTTTATAACAGCTAACGTTTTAGTTATGGAGAACAAGGTATTTTAGAACTGAAGGAAACAATAACCATATGAAGGAGACAAAAGAGAGAAACATACCTTCAGACAAGTCTCCCTCCCAAATTAAGTTTGCTTATTTATTAAAGAGAGAAAACTACTGAAAGTATTCTTAAACCTAAACACTTCCTTAAAAGGCAGCAATCCCACCCTTCTCTTTCAAAAAGAACACTGAAAGTGTCTCTAAAAGGTTCCTCAGGTTTTCAGAACAACCATGTCTTTGTTCTGCATGTGCATAAGGCCTTAGCACAAAAAGCTGTGCTTTGTGCCCAATGAGTCCTACCAAAGCTTTCCCCTTTTAGAGGTCTTTTAGAAAACAGCACATGATGATCTTTCATCCACCCAAGTAGCCTAGCTGCTGGAAAATTCAACTCACTCGCAGGAAATCTAGGCTGCACTTTCAAGAAGATGACTGAATGACTTGTTGATCACAAGAGTGCTCTAAATGCAGGCTGTAACCTACAGCTCTCCTCACAAAGCTGTTACACTTGGCATAGAAAGAATTTAAGACTCATCAGGGCAGACAATGACAGCACAGTGTAATGACACTAAACAACCTGATGCTCAAGGCATTCACTTGGGGAGAAGGGATGCCTTCCTTCATTCTACCCCATCTCAAAATTAAATATTTATTTTATTGAATCTCCATGCATCAAATACCTCAAAACAACTAGTGGTTAAGACATTCATCTGAAATGGGAGATGTGAGCTTTAAACCACTAGAATGACAACATAGGTAATCTTCCACATGCCCAGTGAGTGTTTTGATCACTGTGCTACTGAACACAGGGAAAGAAAGAACTGTATCTTAAAGAAGAGAAACACCATTTAGGAACCCTGACTCAGTTCATTGATAATTTTTCATTACATTTTTCAAAAATACATATATCTGTTATTTACAGCTCCTTGTTGTCAAAGGCAAGATATTCCTCTATTTTTCCATCTTCATCGTAAATTTCTTCTTCCAGGAAGGAATACACAGCTGAATCTGAAGCAGAAATCCTAGTGGAACCTGAATCCAGTGATGTATGCATTGGAGATACTGTTGGTATCAGTTTAGAGCCTGAGATGCAGAGCCTGAAAAAAATATCAAGAAAATCAGAATTAAACATTCAAAGAAATGAGAAAGTGCATATTTAATTATCCTTTTTTTATACTTTAATTATACATGTTTCAGTATTACAGAAGTAATATTTATACATGTTTCTGAAGAGGGAAGACCAAAACAAAAACTTAAAAAAATTAACATACTCCTTTGTATGACCAGTACATTCAAGGAGGCCAGGCACACACTTAGTATCTACATGGGCATCATTTTTGCTTTGAAAATGCTGAAAGCCTTCATCCTTTGGCACGAGGAGTTGCTTTCCCAGAACCCTGAATAAAAAGGAGAGAACAAGCAGTGTCATAGATGTAAATCTTAGCCACATGCAAATATCTGGAATACAAGAACCTGCAAACAGTAGACAATGTAAAAGCACAACTTACATCTGCTTTGAGGGGCCAAAGCCATGTGTATTACCTTAATATTGCATATTATTTAAGCCATTAAAGTTAAGCTGATTTACACAAGATGAGATTCTAGTTGATAAATTTTAAGAGCAAATAGTAAAACTTGTTAGATTGCTCTAAAGCCAGTCAAAAGTAAACGCACTGCCTTTCTTATTAAGAAAGTCTGTAAGATACATTTAAAAATGGATGCAGAAGACAAATAACATCTGCTGTGCCTTCACTTATCTAACTCCAGTATCCAGCGATGTGAGTAAAAGTGCTAATCAAAACTGTTTACATGGGAAGTTAAGGCTACTGGTAAAGTTCAGAAAATGCACAAACTCCAACATGCTTAATGTAGAGAGGAAAAGAGTAAAGGTGAAAGCAACTCTAATAAATACACACTAAATTATAAAATAATTCCTGAGCAACTTTGCCTGCAATAATTTTATTAATCAAAATAAAGGGCATCAGTTGCTAAAGCACCACTGCCCAGATTTACTGATCAGCTATGGCACAGCTCAGTCCCAGAGATACAGATTTGAATGTACAAGTGTTGCTGATGCCCAAACCATAAGAGGATACCTCAAAAATTCAAATTAGAATGGTAACTGATTAAAACTACTACTAGCAAGAATTTCCTTACCTTATATGAGGAAATTGTTCAACCCAATCTGCACATTCTGCCTTCAGGTTCTCTGTTTGGGAGGTCACTTTTCCTTCAAATAACATTTCATCAATCTCCAAAAATAACTGATGCACTCTCTGTGTGTTGGCTTTATCAAATTCCTATATATTATTAAGTTAATAGTTGTTAGCAAATATGCATGTATACTAAAATTTCTGTGATATTTAAAGAACAGAAAAACATGAATCAACTTGGCTGAGCATGTCAGAATGCATGTTCAGACTATATGTTTTGGACACAGTTTATATACCACAATGCAAAAAAAAAAAAAACAAAAAAAACACCAGATAGCTGTCTGGAACAAGTTGATTTAGCAAAAAGACTGTATTTCTTTGACATTAATATAACATACAGCTGCCTAGAATTTAGCCCATGTTAAAAAAAAAAATAATAATAATAAAAAAAAAAAACAAAAAAAAACACAGTTATAAGTTGTTTGGTTTGGACTCCCAGGTTGTTCCCTGTACCAATGTAAAGCACACACACTGCATCTCTGGCACCCAGGGCACCATGCTCTTTCAAGAAGTACTCTTTGTTTTCCTTTCTAAGTACAACAGCTAAGAGGGTAAAGAGGGAGCACCTTATGCCTGTGTGATCTAGTCTAGGGCTTAGGATACAGCTGTCAGTGTGACAAATGCCCTACCACACTTCTTCACTGAACCTACAAATCAGTGCAACTGAAGACTAAGTTAACACAGAAACAAATGAAAATAGTATAGAAATGCCTGATTTTATCCAGTGATATGGAGACAAGCACTTGGCTGAGGGCTCCTCAGCTGGGCACTGTTTGTAATGACATTTGCCACTTACATTAGATACTTTGATACACTATAAAAACTGATACACTAAAAACAAGGCCCAAATCATGCTTGTTTACTTCCAGCTGAATGCCTCAGAGTACTTCAGGGTACAGGAGGGATCATACTGGAAAGGAATGAGAAAATAACTCTCACACAGGTTACTATAATATCCAGAGTCAGGCTTTCTCATGAAGGGCTGGCAGTGACAGATGGGGTCAGTACCCTAAAGATTAGGGCATTATGCAAAAAGAGTGGCAGAACTACCACTACCAGCCACAGAAAGCTTTCTGAAATTAAAATGGCAGCAATTGCAACACTTATTTAACACTTCCAGCCTGCACCAGGTATGCTTTAGAGGTCAGTCTTTGATGCAGAGAGAAGTCCTACTGTTACATTTGCAAAAAATAACGGAGCTAATGTAAGAGCTAAATATTTACCAAAACTGGGAAATTTTTATGCATGTTTATGCATGTACTTCATAACTGAAAACACTGAGAAGAGTTCAATTTAGACATTGCCTGCACAATGCGGTGTTTGAAAAGACATGTTTTATTATTCGCTTGGACTCAGAAACCTAAGCCTACCTTCTTCAGTAAAACAGCTTTGTTTTCCCCAACTTCATCATTTATCATTTTATTTCATTTTCCTTTGTTACATATTAGCTGCACCAATACCAACATGCAACTAAAACTATTTTCTAAATATTCAATTAATACACTTATTCATGAGGCTGTTATGGATGAGGTGCTGCATGTCCAACATCAGTTAAAAAAATATTTTCTACAATATTTAGAGAAAGGGGTACTGTAAAAGTTTCTGTGACATACATCATCCCTCCAGGAGTAAATCGAACTTCTTTCAGTAGACAAACTAGTAGTATAGCTGTTTATTCCAGACCAAGAATTATTCAACTCCGTGGGTGTTGTACAACCACTAGGTGAAAGTGATGAAAGTGTCTCACTGAAAAGAAGACAAATTAAAATGAAGAACAGAATTATTTTCTGTATAAACAACTTTAAAATAGAGAAACTAATTAAGTAAATGGTGCAAGCAGATATTTTAAAGTATGCTCCTATTAGTACCTATTAGTACTATTTACTACATTAAAGTCAATTCCTTCTATTTGCATGTATATACACCATTGCAACTGTATGGCACTCTAAAATATGCATATATATGTGTGTATGTATTTGAATATAATAATATGCATGTATCTATATTTCCAGCTCAAACAAATTATTTTGGTTTCTTCACATCAGCTAGTGATCACATGAAAAACAGATGAAAGATAATATAAGCTTCTTTAATGCTTTCACATTAGAAGGTACCAAAAGAAAACTTTTGCAAAACTAAGCACAAGATCTCTACAGATGTTTCAAATAGCACCGAGTTACATGTCTCTATGCAGTGTTTTTTATGTTGCTAAATCTGGTATACTTTAAAATTTGAGCCACAGCAACTCAAGCCCGCAAAGTTCTAGCTGGACCCTTCCAGCTACCACCCACCCCAGGATGCAGGGAGAGCAGTAGTAATTGGATGTGCAGGCAAATCCTAACCAGTGTCATCTGGAATAAAATTTCTTGAAAGTTAACTAACCTGCAACATTGGTGAGCATGATTTCAATTTAATCATGAAGCCTGATTTCCCTTCCATATCTAATCAGTACCCTTTACTATAGGTCTTAAAATACTTAAATCCGTATCACAAACCAGAAATAAAGTTCAAACCCTTTAAACAGTAAGTCAGGTCATTTTGTATACTGCATTATATTGTGCAATAGTATTATCCATGAGAATTATTGAAAGAATGATTAGTGAAAATAACTCCAATCTGGAAATATCTAAGTCAAAAGTGAGTTAATTAAGTATTATTTAAGAAGTACATGTATACCAGGTATAATTGTCAATGGCTTCTTGAACATTTCTTGCAAAAACTGATGGAAGAGATACTCCACTTTTTCCAGAGAGACACTGCTCTGAGGGACCTCTGGACAGTCCCTTCCTATAAACACAGAAACATAACATTCCATAATTTAAAATAAATTCACATCTCCACTGGAAGCGGGGGTGAGGAGGGCAGGAGAAAGGAGGAGGAAGACAACTACTCTGTTGAATTTTTCCATTTTTCAGGCCTATGCATCAATACAAGCATTTGCTTGAAACAAACGACTTTGTTTTAAAATAACTTTTATTTGCCTTACTTACAAAGGTATATTTAAAAAACATGTACTTTTACTTTGAGACTTGCTTTACTCCATGGCATCCTCCTTGGATTTTGCACTTCAAAACTTGCAAGAAGCACACACAAATGAAGCAGCACCTCACTATTGCAACAACAGAGCAAACGCACAAACCAGTAATTGCCCATACAGCAGGTTAATGAAGGAATGTTTTTTCCTTTGTTTGGGAGGGTAGGGCTTTCTGTTTGGTTTGTTTGTTTGTTTTCTTAGATGGAAACTGTTTCTAATTACACAACTGTTCATAATTATGTTCATATTACATTCGATGCATGAAGTCGGGTCATTAATAGGCTAAACCCATCTCTTCAGAACATACACATATGTGAGTTTCTTGGAAACATTTACAACAACTGATTGCTTCACCTATTTTCATGCCATAAAAGTCTCACAGCAGCATGATTGCATCAAAGTAGATTTGTGAATGAGTAACTATAAGAAAACAGCTCACAGTTCCAAGAATTTTCATTATTTCTTTAGACAAGAACAGTAGATTGGCCCTGCAGCTGTTAGAATTGCTTTGTCTTCTTTCTATCCTTTCCAATAATTATCTTTCCATTACACATATTACAAAAACACATATGTCAAAATCTAACTGCCCACTCAAATGGACCACATCACACATCCTACTGCTATGTCTTGGTCAAGAAAACAGCAAAACCTACCATAAGTTTGAACTTCTCATCAGGGAAGACCTTAAATTTAAAATTCTTCAAGGCTGGTAAAACAGCAAAGGAAACCATTTCCATGTGTTTGCGCTTCATATCCTATCTCTTCCCTATGCCTCTGCTTTTGGTCAGGAAGCACCAGGAGGTTCTATGAGTATTCATAGAGTCCAACCTCATAACTTGAGTCTCATATTGTCCTAACACCAAGATCTATCTCCCAAGAAGTAACAGTGAGCTCACAGTCCCTCTTCCACATGGAATGCTGTTTTGTTCTATTCCCATACATCCCTCTCTGTCTAACATTTGCCATATTATTTATTTATTGCTCAGGCAGCCTTATAAGGTCTTTCTTTTTTTTTTTTTTTTTTTTTCCATAGGTGATCCTTGTTCTTAGTATTTTTCCACAACTTAATACATCACCAAGGTTTAACACTTCAATGCTCTTTACCTGCTCAAACTGCCCAGGTCGGATTCCCAGGAAACACCACTGGAGGTGGAAACCACTGTTACCTTCTGCTTACTAATACCCAAGCTAAACCTCCCCTAGCCAACTTCAGGCTGTCTCCTCTTGTCTTGATGTGAGATGGGGCAAAGTAGCCTTTCTGCAACATTTTTCCACTTCATGTTCTTATACTACGTCTCCCGACTCCTTGAATCACATGCCACTAGATGTGCCAGGAAATTATTGCAGTAAAATAAAACGATAGGAAAAACCCCTCCCAGCACATCTATAGAGCATCTATAGCATCACTTCCCCTGCGCTAGCAAGCGAACACCAGAAGCTCCCCGCTGCTCACCGAAAGCTCCACAGCGACGAGCATTACATGGAGACAACAACACCGCGGCAGCGCTCCCGCCGCCCCGGCAGGACGGCAGGCGGGCTGCGGACACCGCCCCGCCAGGGGCCGC